TTCAATCAAAAAAAAAAGAAAGAAAGAAAGAAAGAAAGAAAGAAAGAAAGAAAGAAAGAAAGGAAGAAAACAAATGTTACACTGTGGAGACAGTGGGTAACAACAGAGATTCTTCCTGAAGGCAGAGACTTAGCTAGCACATTTCAAGAGTTCACTTGATAGGAGATGAACCAGGCATGGAAACACGCACCTGTAACCTTACAGTTACAAAGTTCAAAGCTCAAAGTCATCCTACATGGTGAGTCTGAAGTTAGCCTGAGATACATGAGAACCTTTCTAAAACAAATGAAAAACAAAACAACTCGCAAAAACTAAATAGGATACTAGAGACTGCAGAGGGTCTGTAGGCTAATCCAAAAATTTATTTAACATTCCTTATTTAGCAGGTATGGGGCAGGGGAAACCTTGGCCTGATGGGTATTCTTATAATCTCAACACTTGAAAGGTGGTAACAGGATGATCAAAGAGTTCAAGACAAGCCTTTGTTACACAGTTACTTTGAGGTAAGTCTACTGACATGAGACTTTTATGTTGAGGCAAGCCTAGGCTACAAACAAACAAAGAACAAGAAAAAGGAAGGAGGAGAAGAAGGGAGGAGAAAGAAAAGCTGCTACATTATGGTTAAGCAAAGAACATCAAAATTAAACAGCAAAAGTATTTCACTGAAATTAAAGAAGTAGGGGCCATGAATTTGAGAGAGAGAGCAGAGGGTTATATGGGAAGGGTTGAAGGAAGGAAAGGGAAAATGATGTAATTATATTTTAGTTAAAAAATAAGAAATACTTGAAAATATTGTCTAGAAGCTTATTCTTCACAAAACCACCCAGCAACAGCCCCAGTTATGATTACAAAGAAGTTGCCTACATTCTCTAGCTGAAGCATGCTTGCTTTCCTTCTCCCAGGGGAATGTGTGTGCGTGTGTGTCACAAGCGCAAGTCTGTGTTAGAGACATGATCTTACATAGCCCAGGCTGGCCATTACCTTGCTATAACCTACTGACAAGGATAACAAACTACTGACCATCCTGCCTCCATATCCAAGTGCTGGCATTACAGATGTGTACCACTAAACCTAACTCTGAAGCCCATTTAAACACCTTAGGATGATGTAAGGGGTGTTTTTTTTTTTTTCCTAATTGCCTAAAAAACAAAACAAAACAAAACAAAACAAAACAAAAACACACAGTAGATCCTCACACTAACCGGTGAATAGCACACACTCATCTAATCCACAGACTGAATTCAAGTTTCGGACCCTTGCTTAAATAAGAGATATAAAGTAGGATCATCAGTTTTGTCAGTCTGACTCAATCTAGAACCACTGGCTGTCTCAATGAGGGACTGCTAGATTAAATTAGCCAGTGGGCATCTCTTGGGGAATTGTCTTGGTTTTATTAATTGAGATGGGAAGACCCATCCTCTGTGGGCAACAGTATTCCCTGGGTTTGGGGCCTGGACTGTAAAAAGGTGGAGAAAGTGAGGGGAGCACTGGCCTCTATGTGTTAACTGCTTCAAAGTGGTTGCCTGAAGTTCCTGCTACCCTGACATCTCTGCATGTTCCTATGAGGGACTGTAACATGGTGTGGTGAACTCCCTTAAGGTGTTTTTGTAAGGGTTTTTGTTCAGAGCAGCAGGAAGGACAATGAAGACAGATAGATGATCTTTCTCTTTTCTAGGCACGGGAGCAATGAATGATAAAAGGTATCCCAGAACCCAAAGTTGAGAAAAAGCTCGCACTTGTGTTCAGCCTTTTTCTTAATCTTTGTCTGTCTATGCTGGGAAGAAACATAGCAAATGGAGCATTCGCTTCACAACCCAACTCCATGACTCCCTAGAGTACGTTCCTGGAGTTCAGTGGTAGGAAGGTATGCTTCTTAGCTAATGCAGGGATTGTAGAAAAGAAACACTCTGATTTTCCATGGCATGCACTGGGCACTTGCTGTAGCCAGCAGCAACCCGTTTTTATTGTGAAGAGGCTGACTGCAGGAATGTAGATCTGCCTGGCTGAAGCTCCAACTCAACCCACCTAAGAGGGTTTCTACACTTGCCTAGTTACAAGCCTGCAGTGTTGAACTGGTGGGGATTGATCTTTAGGGTCTGCTAAGGCTTGAGATATAAACCCAATGAATATGCACTTCTTCCGGTGAAGACTCCATGCTGTACTTAAAACTAACTGCAATGATGGAAATGCCCCTAATTAAATATACATATACGCTTTGGGCAAGTCTGATTTTTTTCCCCCTGAGAGACAGGATCTCATTATACAGATCTGGCTGGCCTAGAACTTGCTAAATAAGTAAACCAGGCTGGCTTCAAACTCAGAGATCCACCTGCCATTGCCTCCCTAGTGCTGGGATTAAAGTTGTGTGCCACCATAGTTGGCTCCAGTTCTGATTATTAATTCATATAAACATCTTCACATTTGCTGTGAAAAAATGACTATGCTGTAAAAAATACTGACTTACATATAACTAGAAAAAGTTTAAATATAAGAATTCAAATAATCTGAGAGGGATTTGCCACTCTAATTTTCTAAGATTTTCTACTTCAGTTTGCTCATAGCTCCTTCTTGATAGTAGGTCATTTTAAAACTGAAACCACACTTCTGCTCTCGGCTGAGTGACAGAAGCAAGAACCCAGCAGTGGGAATTACATATGCTGTTTAGGGTACAGTATATATACTGAGGCCTAACTATGTTTCGAATTTACAAACAGAACTACAGTATCCCCAAATCTGTGTACTAATATATACCCAATGTGACCACTGACTGTAATCTAAACTATGTTTATTAGGTTTTGCCTGAATTAAGTTTATTGCCAGGAAAGGACACAGGAGTTAGGCAAAACAAAAGCTGCCCACCATATTCAATTCCTATTTTATTGATTTGTACTGATTTCCCTTTAGATTAACTCCATTCTCTCTATCCCTACCCTCCAGTTATTACACTGTTGTGTGCAACTTTATTTTTTATAGAATAAAATTTCATGGCTGCCAGAACTCAATGCTGCAACTTTTAATGTGCAGAGAATTGGAAAAGTCAATGAAAAGGGGTCTTTTAAAAAGATACAAGTAAAAAAGACTTGCTTTTTAAACTTTAAGCCTAACTACTTACTGAAGGGATGACTAGGCAGTCAGAAGATTTGGCCCTTTTCTGAGGCAAGTTACTAAAACCCCGATTTCCCTTCTAAAACGTAGATCCAGTGTGCAAAGACAGCATTTGTTAACAAAGCCAAATCCAATTTAACTTTTCCATTGCATTTTCAGCACATAAACAATCCATATCCATCAATGAGCCTTCACTTTTCAGATGGGCTACTTTTTCAGCCAAGTGGCAGGACACCAAAATGGGAAGGAGAAGTCAATGTCATAGAGTATAAATAGCTGTGGCCAGAAACAATATAGCAAAAGAGCCAATAGGAGAAGAGCTCCCCAAATTGCAGTGTAAGTACTCATTCAATGTCTCCCTTCATGAGGGCCTCAGAGAAAACCAGCAACAGCAAACAAAAGATGAAAACAACAAATGGATACAAGATTTCTAACCTTATGTCGAAATGACTGCCTTACTGTATCTTCCAGGGTTTCTGAGAACCTTTTTAAGCTTCAGCTGGAGCTCAATGAAAATTAAGCTGGAGCTTAATATTCATGAAAAGAAACCTTTTAAAATGGGAGACAGCTATAAATACACGCGAGTAAACAGTAGAATAGAAAGACGGGCTGACTTTTGAAAATTATATTTGTTTAGATTTAGTGTTTCTACAGTTAACCCGAAGGATCACTAATTTCACGCGACTTTAGTTAAAACATTAGTTACTATGCTTCAATTGCATGGAGTATACACTTCACTTTTTAAACGTCTGCTGGACGTTTTCCGATTGTTGTCAAGCATTGAAAGTCATTAAGTTTACAAGAGTCTGTGGTGGAACGTGAGCACGCGCGCGCACACACACGTACTTTAAGCATCAGCAGTATAAGCGCAACTGCGGGCATTAGAAAGTTACATAAGAAAAGCAGTGTGTCCTTTGAGAAATCGGTTCAAGCCAACAGTAATCTAGTAAACTAACTGTATATGCTGCCGGGCTGGGTCACAGGAACTGGGTAAAGAAGCAATGAAAAATAAAGACGCAATGAAATGAGGGCACTTAAGAGCTGAATGATGCAGACAATGCCACCAGAGGCATCTTCTGGCATTCCTTCGGAAGGTGCAAGAATGGGTTGTCTTTAATGAGCCTGAGACCTGGCTAACGGCAAAGCCTAAAACCACCATATCCTGAAACAAATCCCACCATGTGGGAGATAAGACTGGAGGAGTCGCTTTAAGTGATTGATCCATTCACTAAAGCTACCCTGGCTGTCACCGGCCTGGGACTCGCGCACTCCCCGGCACTGCCACCTGCTCTCTATTTCCTCGGGAAGAGCGGGTGGCGCGCGGGACCCGGCCCACAGGCTCCCAAGGCAGAACTAACGATGCCTGTGTGATTCCTAAACCCCCCAGCTCAAGTCCATGTTCCCCAGGGTCGGTTCCGGGACGGCGCGCGGCCCCACGGTGGAAGGCTGAGAAGTTTCCCTTGGCGGAGCCGGGGCAGGGAGACCCGGGGAGAGGGGGTGGCGCGGGGTCGAGCGGCCCGCGGGGACCACGGGGAGGAGAGCTGGGGGCGGAACCGCGCGGAGCCTCCCAGGGGCCCGGCTCGGGGATGCCCCTGACGGGGAGAGAGGGGCACCCTGGCCGCTACCTGCTGCTGGATCTTCCCGTCCTCCGTGACGACCCAGTGCGTGGTGGCCAAGGCCCCTCGAGCCACCACGCTCAGCAAAGCGGAAAGGCTGAGAAGCCACCCTGGGCCAGAGCGAGGCGGCAGCTCGAACCGGCCGCGGACCCCTATTGCCGCCGCCATCTTGCCCCCCCCAGCCGGGTCGCTCACACCGGAAGCGGAAGCTACTCGTCGCCGTCCGCCATCTTGGGGAGGTCGCCTCTGGAGCAGGAGGAGGAGCCCGCAGGGTGTAGCGGGCTCCCCACCGTTCCCTTCAGCAGCGCTTGGGGCTATTGGTCCCGCTATGCCTCGGAGCTGGAAACTGCCTTCAGTTATCCTGTAGGCTATGTGATCTCCAAGCGTGGGAACCAGAGGGGAGATAGTGATAGTAGATTAGGTGGATCTTGAGCAGAAGTGAGAAGATTGCCTGGTGGTTCTTTTTAAAAAGTAAGTATTATTTCGGGCAGTGCAATAAAAGATGTGCTTTCGAACTACCTAAGAGAGGCATTATTTTTACCAGGTTCGTAATGGAGTGTCAAGCGGCCCACTCCTAATGTAATGCGCGTGACGTAAGGAATTAAAAAATCGCTCTGGTTAACTTACCAAATACAAAATAGCAGTTCAAGATCTGCATATATGATCGGTGTAGATACTTAGTGTCTTTCGAAATTTAGAAAGCGATGTGTACTTACAGATCAGGCACATCTGTTAAGGCCCAGAAGGACCTTGGTGGGCAGCTCCAATCTAAAGGCCTCCTAGGTGTAGAGCCCAGATATTGGCATCTCCAAGGATTGCATTAAATACGCAAGTTTTCAGCACTTGTGGCCTCCCTCCCCCACGCCCTGCTGAGTTTTAAGGAAAGTCTCAGATGACTGATTTGCATATTCAAGTTTGAGGCTTACTACCAACAGGTAGCCAAGTAATGAACTAGCTTAGGTTCCAGCTTCTACCAGCGTATGTTCTTACAGATATTTCACGACTGCCAATAATATGACGTATCATTTTATGTTGTCGCTGTTATGCTTTTTTTCTGTTGGGAAAAGGATAAGAATAGTGCCCTCCCTATATAGGTAAAAGAGTGCCACCTCCCTATATAGGTGTTGCAGAAAAACAAACATCTGCCTCATGCTTTGGGCACTGGGGCCATGACATTAATTCTGACAGCAGGTCGGTTGTTTTTGAAATGGAGTCCCCATATGCAGCCCAAGTTGTCTGAGATTTATTATTTAGCCCAGGCTGGCCTTGAAGTCCTCCTTTGTCAGCCTTTTGATGCTGGTATTGCTGTCGTGAACCATCAGGCCCAGCCCCAAGGGCAGCTTTTCTTAAAGTACTGTAACATTCATTTTACTAAAAAGGTGCAACTTGGGGGTAGAGATGATTCAGGGCTGAAGAGCATTTCTTCCTATTCCAGAGAACCAATGTTGGACTCACCTGTAACTCCAGCTCTGGGAGAATCCATCTTTATGTATGTGGCACAATTCTCATATACAAACACACATACACCATACACATACCTGCCTTTTGCGTGACAGTGGAGACTGGGCATGTAAACATGAACACTGAGCAATAAGTCAGGATGTTTGACTAGTTAATTAAAATATAGACAATGGGTGTGTGATAAGGGTGTGTGTGTAAGAGTGCTACAACCAGGTGAAAAAAGGCTTGGCACAAATGATCCAGGTAAAGTGTGGTAAAGGTGATGCTGGTGTCAAATTGTTAGGGTCTCGTGTGTCATTGAGTTTAATGAAGACAATAAGGAGTATAACTGAGTTTTAAAGTAGTGACACCTTATTTTTAGGTATTTTCATCTACTGTAAAATCAGGTGCCATCATTTTTTTCTTTACAGTGCTAACGAATGAACCCAGAACCCTGCATACCTAGCCAAACACACTACAAATGAGTTATGTATCTCTAGCCCATAATTTAATAACTTGTGTTTAATACACCTACTTGGCTTCAGAACCCCTAATATCACGTTTTAACTATTAGCAATTTCTTTGGCATTTATCCTTTGGAAAGGAGGCAAAATTAGCTTCTGTGAACTCAATGGATCATCCATTTGTTTTTCATAGATCATAAATAATCCTTGTCCTTTGAGACAAGATTGTGAGAGCTCTCCATGGTTTTCTGTTGTGTAACTAATGTTCACAAACGTAGTTTCTAAGGAAAAAACCTACTGTCTCACACAACTGGTATCAGGGCTACACTCTGAAGCTTGGTGGTAGGGTTGGTGAGGTGTCCTCTTCTAGCTCATTCAACTTCTTGCAGGTTTTAGTTCTTTGCTGTTATAGGACTGAGGTCAGTTTTCTTGCTGGCTGCTGATAAGCCATTAATATGCAAAACACCCACTATATATCTTGCTATGTAGCTCTCAACATGGCCATTACTTTTAAGGTCAGCAAGAGAATGTCTTCAGTGTTTGAAATTGACTCACTACATCTCTAGTCTAGATTTAATGAATTTTTGCTAAGATTTTCCAAGTGAATAATCTTTTTACTTAACCCCAAATTAGCTTATTTGTGACTATGACATTTGCAAAAATACGTTTGGCCAAATAACATAGTATTTCAGGAAATTTCACATAGCTACATGTGTCTTCCATAGTCCAGGTGGATCTTCTTAAATCCCAGTCTTTATTAAAGTGTAAAAAAACTGTATATATTAAGTGTACAAGGATGTCTATGAACACCATTCCTGCTTTAGGCATTCTTAATGCAGAGAAGAGTGTTTGCTTATTTCTTCCCAACCTTTACTTGTGCTTCCTTTTCTCCAGGTTAAGGTATAGCTCAAATCCTAGTTTGTAAAAACAAAAATGTCAACTTTCTTGCCAGGTCTAAATTTTGTAGCATTAATGATACACCATACTACTTTGTGATATACTTTCTACATTTTGAGCACTGAAACACTTTAGTAATTTCTGTAAAGGTTCTTAGGTCTAGTCTAGTGAGACACAATACACAGTAAAACTAGGAAAAGAAAATACAATACAGGTAGTCAGCAAAGACAAGCAGAGTGAATAAACTCTCTCCTAGGTAAGGGAAGCTGCCCAGAGCAGATGACAATATCCTATGTAACACCACATCTGAAAGATCCCAAAGCACTCTGGGTATTGTATTCTAGGTAAAACTGGTATCACTGAGCATAAACATGTACAACATACTTCTCTAGAAAGAACAAGGACACAACCCTTATGAAGGTTTCTGTCCCCAGCTTATATCAGTTCATTCTTGGTATGTTCTGAGAAGTACAAGCAGGACTGGAAAAAGTTGGGCTGACTAAGGCCATTTAAGGGGTCTGTCCTAAAATTCTTTGCTTATTTAACCTAGATAAAAATGGGAGGAATTTCTTATGTATTAATATTATACATATTACATATATAGTCTTCTTGAGTAGCCATACTTAACTTTTGGCTGGGTTTTTCAATTCCCAAAAGTAGCTTTCCCCACTTAAAGTGAGTAAAATAATTATAAATCTCAACCTAAATGTGCTATTTACTTCTCTTCCCTAATTATGTGAGACAAACACTTTAAAGGGAGGGCTTATTGTGGTTCTCAGTTGCAGGGGTTTCAGCTCATGCTGGCCCCATAGTGCTGAGAATGTGACAGTGGAGGGTGAGAAGCAATCAGAGGAGAGAAAGTTGACTAGGGACACAATAGACCTGCAGTTTTCTCCACCTTTAATTTCATTCCATTGCAAACTCATGATTCAACCACATCACTGAAGCCCACCCCTGAATACTGTATTACCAAGCCTTCAACACACAAGCCTTTAAGAGACTTTTCATATTCAAACCATGGCTCTAAAATACTATTGTTTTGAGTTTCTATATCCAGGTAGTCATGTTACTTTTAAAAAATCCTGTTCAATGCACTTGTTGTTTTCTTTCCCATTCTACATGCGTTTCTTTCCTTAGAGAAAATATAAAGTGCTAATGGGAGAACTGACAATACCTCACACTGTGAATCAATTCTTAGGTCAGTATGTAACAGGAAATGTACAGTATGTAACAGTAACTTAAAGGCTTATTTTTTTAAAAAATTATGTATTTATCTCTGAATGTGGGTATGTACACATGAACACAGATGCTTGTTGAGGAGGAACAGGCATAACCGCCTAATGAGGATGCTGGGAACTAAACTGGGGTTCTCTGCAAGAGCAGTCAGGACAGATTTTATGATTTCTTAAGAATTTGATGTGGGTTTTTATTAAAATTTTATTATATTTAGTGTGAGTTTGTGGTTGGTAATAGGACAACTTTCACTGAGTTGGTTCTCTCCACCAGCTAGGGGATTGAACTTAGGTTGTCCAGCTTGGAAGGAAGCTCCTTCATTGGCTGAGTCATCTTGCTGGACCGGGTTTTTATTTTAAAGAATAGATCCCTTTAGCTTGGACTTGCTTCAAACTTGTGATCCTCCTGCTTCAGGCTCCCGTTTGCTGGGATTACAGGTGTTTGTCGTGGAACCTGGCTGATATTTTTCCATCCTCAAATACCAGAAGAGTCTTACTATGCAGCCTAAACTAGAATTTGTGATTCTCATGCCTCAGCCTCCTGATGGGATTACAGGCAAGGGAGCATGTTACAACTCTACACTCTGCTGATACTGTTTCAACAAAAAGAACCAAATTTTTTTTGAAGATTGTATTTACTTATAAAAATATAATAAAAACAGATGGCTTGCAAGACTGAATCAAAATTGACCTTGACGACAGAACACGTTTTTCATCTTTATATTTAAGATCTACCAGTTCACCATTAGCAATCAATAAATGCTAATAATATCCAAGAATCTTATGTTATAATTATAACACTATAAGACACAAAACAAAATTACAAAAGGAAATTTATTTCAAAAGCATAAGGGAACATTTACATTTAAACAAGGGGATAAACAGGTGTCTTGAAGAAGAAAAAACATATTTATGGCATGAAGATTTTCATTCAAATCTCTGAAGCAAAAGAACAGTAAGTTATGCACTATTGCCTAGGCAAGGTAAGGGGAACAAAGGGAAGAGGGAGGAATGCAGTGAGCTCTGCATCAGACATGAGGTCAAGTTATTTCTGCTGAGTTTACAAATACACTCAGACAAGAGAAAGGAAAAATTACACCATGTTCAAAATTATATTGCTGTAGTCCAATTTATTTTTGTACTCAAAATGGTGTTAGACCATGGCTGATGTATCTGAGGTCCATACTAGATGGTCAGTTTTCAACTGGCAATCCCATGTTCCTACGTCTGTTCAGATTCCAAGGGAGCCCAGGTTCAGCTCAATCATGTGGAATGTTCAGAGATTATTGCCAGCACTCCATAGTCAAGCTGACCAACTTGTTGTGCTCACTTGTATCATCTAGACTTCTAGACTATTTTCTCCATAAATTATATGCAGTAATTCTCACAAAGGGGTTTTGCTTTTTTCCCAGTAAGAAGTAATGGTAACGAGGACACCCGTGCAGGAATCGAAACCTCAAAACAAAACAAAAAAAAACCCAACAACAAAACTACTAGCAATGACATCTGGATATTTGATTTGAATAGCAAATTTAGGGAAGGAAGATGAACTGGAACAAAAATATATGAAACATTCAAATGAAGAACAAAGGGTCTGAGCCACTAAAAATGTCCACGATATGAGGCACTCCACAAACCTCCCATCTGTTGTTTTAATCTAAAGACTACTGGCTAACTTATACAATAATCTGATTAATAACCTGAGAAGTTAAATTTTGAAAGTGGCAAAAGCAAACTGAGTGAGCATCTCTTATTTAATGATAGTATGTCATCAAGTCACTTTCCTGGGTAGCCCTGGTTAAGTTTCCAAATCCTAAATTATACTATCCATCCTGTGAGAACCTGTATGTACACCAGATCTAGCTGTATTTCACCAACAAGGTCTTCAAATTTGTCTCTGAAAATACAACCTGTTTTCAGTTTTAAACAATTTTAATCATGTAAGTATGACTGACTCAAATTCCTCCCTACTGGATTGAAAACCTGGATACCAAGTTAGTAATGGATTCATTTCAGCCTCAAAAGGATAATCACTGTGTCAGATGACCCATTCCTAGAATTTAAAATAGTGATTTGTTGTACACTCAAGTTCCATGGCACGCACATATACACACACAACATATGCTTATGTTTACATGTATATTATGCACATGTACTCCTATTCAAATAAGACCCTGTGTTCAAAAGCTGTATCCCAAAAAATGGAGAAGAGTGAAGGAAGCAATGCAAAACTTACTGCTTCCTAAAAACCTAATGTCACTTGTATACTGTAAGAAGTGTTTAACTTCTATGAGTCTTAGTAGGAATGCTACACACTGCCTAGCAGCTTCATTAGCAAAAGGTTAAGACTGATCATTACTCTTCTCCATGTGTTGGGCAAAAAACTGGAACAGACTAGGGAGGAAAATAAGTAACCTTTCAAAAGTGATTGGCTTTACCAGATCACGAGCTAGACTGAATTTTTCATTAGATTCAGTTCTTAATAACAAATTATGAAGATGTTTAAAAGTAAGATTCACAAAATGAAGTCTAATAATGAGGCTAATTTGAAAAGAAGTCAAAGCTGCAGATAAAGCATCCAAAAATATTGTTGTGGTTTTACCTTGGACACAACCATGGTCTGTTACAAAAGTAGATCATACATACAAAGGTAGAAAGAACATTACGTTTTCAGCTGAAGGCAGCAGTCCTGTTAAAGGGACATCCCCGGCAATCCAATGAGTAGTAGATTTAAGAATATTAAGCTCATGACAATGCTGAAGAATGTGATGTTGCACTCAGTAGAGTCTTCCTCGACTACGATTTCCTCGTGTTCCCCAACCACGGCCTCCTCTACTTCCCCTGAAGGCTCCTCTCTGCTCTACGAAAAAGCGAACAATGGTTTAGGTCTTGCTCAGAATTTCATGGTTCAGCAAGTAGAAAAAAATACAGCTTGTAGTTCTGAAAATAGCAGCAGGCCTTATAAAAGCTAAAGTGGTGTTCTCCTGTCTTCAAATTCACTGTCCATCAAACCAGGACAACATTTACAGAAACAGAGAGGTAAACAGCAAGCAGAGTGCCAGACAGTTTGGTTAAATGCTTCTCATTAGCAAAGTTGTTGCAAAGCGACAATGTTAGGATAATCATACTTGTAAGTTTTTATTTTGGTGCCATTACTATCAAAGAATAAAACTATTAAAATGCCTGCACTTACTAAAGAATTAACAATGCAACAAAAACATCTCTGATCTTTATATATGAGAAGTATCTTAAACTATTGATTTGGACAATAAGGCTGCCCTTTTGTATGTGACACAAAGGCAGTGTCCTTCGTTGTGACTTCACTATCTACACAACACTGGCATTCACGGTAAGTGCAGGTTTAGTGCTGAGCCTTTCTTTCATGGGCTCTATGAGCTCCCCAGAACTGTCAGAAAGCTGTGTGTTACACACACATATATTCTGAGTGAGCGTAGTACATCTTTTGCTGAAAGTCAAGGCACACAGGAGAACAAGATCATGAAGAATTAGCTCAAAAGACTCTCTCCAGTGAAGAAACTGTCTGTTCTGTTCATCGTGGGCAAATGAAATCAGTCTGTGTTGCACTTCTACACTGCAGCAATAAAGGCTGGCATTTATCTTTCTGATCCACAATTTTGGTGTCTTGAAAAATACCTTTTAGGTCAATTTTACAATCCATTTTAAAATTTTTGACAATATTGCTTATCAGATGGTTTTCTGATGAAATCTCTCCTTTTCCCAAGAAGAAAAAGTAATTCAATCTGAGACAGAAAACTAACTAGACTTCTCCAATCTAGTCAATACCTCTCTCCCTCTCCTTCCCTTCCCTTCCCTCCCCTCCCCTCCCCTCCCCTCCCCTCCCTCCCTCCCTCCCTCCCTCCCTCCCTCCCTCCCTCCCTCCCTCCATCTTCCTCCCTCCCTTCTTCCTCCCTTCCTTCTTTTCCTTTTCTTTTTAGTGTCAACTTCCTCCTTTTCTCTCTTCTTGTTTTTAAAGATAACGTGAAATCTTAAAGCATTTTAATTATCAAAGTTCAAAAAATTTTTGATGAAATTTTAGTATTTTACTCTGTGTTCCCTCAGCATCTTTGTAGTCAGTAGCAGACATTCTTGCTCCCCAACTTTGGGTCAAAATAAGAGCATTTTAAGAAACCCATCTTAGTTGATACACAATGTTGGGGTGAGCTGCTTGTTCATCCTGGCTGCCCGGAACTGAAATAATCACACAGAAACTGTTATTAATTAAAACACTGCTTGGCCCANAGCTTTGGATGTTCTGGAACTTGTAATATCTATCTATCTATCTATCTATCTATCTATCTATCTATCTATCTATCTATCTATCTATCTATCTATATCAAGCTGGTCTTGAACTCAAGAGATCTGTCTATCCCTGCCTCCTAAGTGCTAGAATTAATTAAAGGTGTTTACCACCATACCCCACTTTTATTTATTGAGACCGAATTTTATTTCTTGCAGATTTTAAAATTAAAATATAATCACATCCTGGTTTACTGGCAAACAAGCTAAGGTGTTACATTTTCTGCATTTCTTCTCGAACTTCTATCAGGCACACAGAGTTCTATGAGACAAAAATCTTTGTGGAAAATCATAGTAGGCATGTGACTGCCCAAGTGAAGAGGAACTTTTTAATGTACTGTGCAAAAAAACTCATGGCTACTTTCATTCATGCTATATACACTCTCATATCATCTAAATGCTGATTTTCTGATTAGTACAGATAACACATTAAGTCAAATTATCAGAAGATAATATCCAAGGTAATAAAACAATGGAGACTCTTTTCTGTTTGCAAAATGCTATCAAAAATATTATCTGAGGTTCAATCTCCAGGCCCTTGCCCGGACTCGCATTCGGTACAGCTTCGCGCGAACTGTACCGAGGGTGTAACACCAAAACCGGGTGCTACAATTGGAGGCCCCAGCGAAATCGGGAAGTAGGGAATCCCTGAGAGGTCGCCCTCGGGAAGACTGGCCAGCAAGGTAAGAAATTGTGTGGCGAGGGTGAATTGGGATAGGGGAGCAGGGAAGCACATATCTTAGTTAAAAGAGCCACCTTAGTGTTGGCAAGAGACTGGAACCTAGAGTGGCTCCCAGGAGCCCAAGGCTATGTCCCCAGTTAGTCCCTTGGGAAGCTGAGGATAGGGAACCTGAACTGACCCTATCCTATAGCATTACTGACGAATATCTTTCATATCACCATAGAACCTTCATCTGGTGATGGATGGAGATAGAGACAGAGACCCACACTGGAGCACTGGACTGAGCTCCCAAGGTCCCAATGAGAAGCAGATGGAGGGAGAACACGAGCAAGGATGTCAGGACCACGGGGGGTGCACCCACCCACTGAGACAGTGGGGCTGATCTATTGGGAGCTCACCAAAGCCAGCTGGACTGTGACTGGAACAGCATGGGATAAAACCGGATTCTCTGATCATGGCGAACAATGAGGACTGATGAGAAGCCAAGGTCAATGGCAAGGGGTTTGGATCCTACTTCATGTTCTGGCTTGGTGGGAGCCTAGCCAGTTTGGATGTTAACCTTCCTAGACATGGAGGGAGGGGGGAGGACCTTGGACTTTCCATAGGACAGGGAACCATGACTGCTCTTTGGATAGGAGAGGGAGGGGGAGAGGAGTGGGGGGAGGGGGAGAAGAGAGGGGGGAGGGGGAGAAGAGTGGGGGAGGGGGAGGGAAATGGGAGGCTGGGAGGAGGCGGAAACTTTTTTTTCTTATTCTCAATTAAAAAAAAAAATATTATCTGAGGCTCCTAAGAGTTCTGCTATCCCTATTTTTCAGATAAGAAGCAAAGAGATGCATATTTATATCCAGTTAGATAAATACCATTCAATATAGCCCCTAAATAAGCCTTTAAGAGTTCATTTAATGCCGTGAAGTAGTGGTGCAAGTCTTTAAACTCTGGAGGCAAAGGCAGGTGGATCTCCAAGTTCAAGGCCAGCCTGGTCTACAAAGCGAGTTCCAGGACAGCCAGAGCTGTTACACAGAGAAACCCTGTCTCGAAAATAAAAAAACAACCAAACCACCAAGAGCTCATTTCCATAGGAGAGTTCTTTTCTCAGACTAAAGCTGGCTTTCTTCAATAGAGGGATTTACTTAATGTCACCATTATGTCACTTGGAAACAGAATCGAATAGAAAGTAAAATATGGCTCAGAATATACTTAAAAAACAATACTGTAGATATTTAGCAATCAAAATCAATCACATTAATGTTTGGTTGCTATTGTTATGATGTTGCTGATACTGTTATCATTGAGACACGCGCTAGTGGCTCAGGCTGACCTCAAACCTTCTATACAGATGATGACCTTGACTGCCTCTCTAGAGTTGGGGTTTCTAGTATTAAGCTTTTCCTAAACAAAAACGGGGCTGGGTGGGCTACTTCTGCTCATTGTGACTCTGGCTTGCCTTGAACTTATGATCCTCTATCTCACCCTCCTGAGCACTGGGATTATAGGTATATGTCATTA